GATTATCCTTAATTTATTCCACATGTTTGATGAATTTTTCAATAGTATAATTGAGTCCACGATTTTTTTCCATATACGTACGTATGATTGAAACTGATTTTACCTTGCAATCAACATATTAAAATTTTTATTTTTACATCTTAAAATTGAATAAATCATTAATTACTTATTTGAATTTAGTAATTCAGTTATGTTTCTTCCTAGAAATTGGTCTTCTGAAAATTTTTAATGTGCCTAAACTTCAAACTTTCAACTAAAACTTTTAGCTGGCTGGGCGTTAGAAATGCCGAACGTTTGGATCACCATCTGGTGTCTGTTTCGCCGAATTTTTCAAACGTGCATTTAAGGACTAACTTTGCCAATATTTGTTAAATAGTCGATTCTATACAATTTCTTTCAAAAGACACAATTATTTCAAATGGCAAGAAACGGAAAACATTACGTTCAATCCTCATATAATAATTATTTATATTCGATTTCCAAAAGAATATCAAAAAGCGTTCAGTGTCTTGCACAATTCAATTATCAGCAGACGGATGAGAATCCATTATTTTAAATGGTTAGTTATATTAGTTCCCAACAAATATACGTACATATGCCCTCATTTCTAGCCGTGGAGTTAGCCTATTATATTTTAACATTGGCACGAGTTTATATAGTTTATATAATTCAATCAAAAAATGAACTATTTCATCATATTTTCATCGTAAAATTTAGCAAACTTTTAAGTGTGGCTACTTTTTTTTGGAACAAAACTCTACTCAAAATTACATTTTCCGGGTAATGTGAATGAAACATAAATTTGAAACAGACATCAATGTAGCTGCAATCACCCAAAATCAATTGCGAAAACGTAATTGATTCTTCACGAGTTAAAAAGTCCGGCTCAAAAATGATGCTCAAGTCTGACAAATAGCCCACAAAGTTCCGAAACACGGATCATAAACTTACAAAAATTATAATATTGATTGATAAAGGAAAATATATTTTAAGATTGCAAATGAGTGCAGTCCGCAGCTCTGCAATTTCGTGCGCGTTATAGTTTGGAGTCGAGCTGGAATCGACAGCCCAGAGATGAAGTCATCGCATTATGCAAATCTTCAGCGGCCCGACGACTCTAGTTGGTTCTGTGTCAGTAATTTGCTTAATTTCCGCCATCAAGAACAGCGCTGAATCGACAGTTAGAATCTGCCTCATGAAATGGATAGGCCGGAGAGATTTTCACTCTAGATAAAGGAGATCGATAGTTTGTCCTTCCTCGACTTCAATATTACTAAATCTAATGGCCGTTTTCAAACATCTGTTCTCCGAAAATCAACTTTCAACGGCCTTAGCACTTAGCACAAGCTTTTTTAGCTTTTGTTCTTTTAGATTCAGGTTAGACGGGCTTCAAACACTATTACACCGCGGCTTTCGTATTTGCTCGACTTTCCATGCCACGCATTCTGAATTTGAATTTTTGCGCAATATCTTCTCGCTTAATGGATTTCCTTCTGGCATGGTGTTAACCCAAATTAAGAAATGCATGTCTGAGCGATACAGTGAAGGTGTTCCAGAGCCTGATGATACAAACGTTGTTTACTGTTCTCTTCCACACTTCGGCCATGCGTCCGAAGTTAAGTCAAGAGAATTAAAAGATTTGTTTATGAAATACTTTCCGGACATTAATCTTTGTATCTTACTGGCGAAAACTTTTAAAATAGGTTCATTTTTTAGGTACAAAGATATCCTCCCTTCTCACATGAGATCGTTCCTGGTTTATAAATTTAATTGTGCACGATGTGCATCTGCGTACGTTAGAATGACGTCACGCAACCTTTACACAAGGGTAGCTAAGCATAGAGGGAGGAGTTATAGGACTGGGCAGTTACTATCGCGTCCTCCTCATTCGGCTGTGAGCACTCACGCCGAACAGTGCAACGTTCCAGTCTCCGATACTGACTTTAAGGTTTTAGCTTCTAATTCTGGTGCATCCTAAATGCGTATGTTGAAATCCTCGTATATTGTTAAAGAGAAGCCTAGTTTATATGCAGCCTTTAGATCTTATCTTTTAGAAATTGTGAATAGATAGGTATTTACTTTATTACTCTGCACTTTGCTTGTAAATTTAGGTTTTTAACTTCTGTATTTTTCTTTTGAATACAAACTTTATCAATTTCTGATTGTATTTGTGTTTTAGATCGAACTGACGATGGAGCTGGTCTCCGAAACGTTTTCAATAGAGATATGCCAAATTTTGTGGAGTTTTCTTCGCTTTTAAATTTTTAGTGAACGCAGTCTCATGACATTAATACTTGAATGAATTGTGTTGTGATATCTATGAGTTAACATTGCGGCTCATGCAATATTATTGCTAAAATAATATGTCCCTAAAATAAGTGGAGAACCGACGGAATTTAATAGAGTGGGTTTTGGTAGGCCATGCATAATAACTAATATACAAATATTAATAATATTAGTAGCTGCGTCGATGGTCTCTCGGCGCTATTAGAAAATAGGAACAATTTATCCAATAAATAATACTATCTATTATTCAAATAAATAATTATGTGTTGAGTGATAGCATTAATCAAACATGAATGTTTTCCAGAAAAAAAGTGATTAACTTATTTTTTAAATAATGGGAAAGCAAAAAGAAAATTATTGGAAAATGAATGGATACTAATAAATCATTAAATATATTTATTATTCTAGTAACGCATTCGGTGAAAACTATACATCCCAGTTAAACTTTTTGATGAAGTGGTCCTGCCCGAAGATGATATACTTGCCGGAAACTAATACTATTGAAACAGAATATATTGAAATGATATTTGTTGAAGCAATATTTAGTGGACTGATATATAATGAAGCGGTATTTATTTAAACGTTTTGTAACTCCTGTCACTGAATGAGCTAAATTGACCGGGTGGCACAAACCTTCCAGTCTAGAGATCCTAAGATGGGAAACTAAAGCTAGTCGAAAAAAATTTGTAAATGATATGAGTAAAACGTACGTCTTTAGCAATGAAAATGATTCAAGAATGATCGGAAGAAAATACAATCGTAATTATATTAAGTGAATCGGCAGAGCCAATTTTGTGTTCGAATTGATCTATGAGAAAGATATTTGGTAAAACCGGGCTGCCTGTCAACCCATGTCTGTCATGAAAACCTGACATGTTTCAATAACCGTAAATCAAATATGATAAAATAATTTAATCATAAAGATAAAATTAGTGATAAGTGTCCTATTCGAGCGACTTTTTCCTGGAAGATGAAAGTCATGACGTGTATAGAAGCAACCTGGAGCAATACACCAAAATAGGAAGATTTATAGATATTTTTTTAATCACGAGAAAAATTGGAAAACCTGACTCACACAAGCACCAAACACTTGTCAAATATTTTAAATTCACGAATTTTTGATTCTATTCGGCGAAAACTATACATCCCAGTTAGACTTTTTGATGAAGCGGTCCTGCCGGAAGATGATTATACTTGCCGGAAATATGTTGAAACTAATAATATTGAAACAATATATTGAAATGATATTTGTTGAAGCAATATATAGTGGACCGATATATAATGAAGCGATATTTATTTAAACGCTTTGAAACTCCTGTCATTGAATGAGCTAATAAGACCGGGTGGCACAAACTTTCCAGTCTAGAGATCCTAAGATGGGAAACTAAAGCGAGTCGAAAAAATTTGCAAATGATATGAGTAAAACGTACGTCTTTAGCAATGAAAATGATTCAAGAATGATCGGAAGAAGATACAATCGTAATTATATTAGGTGAATCGGCAGAGCCAATTTTGTGTTCGAATTGATCTATGAGAAAGATATTTGGTAAAACCGGGCTGCCCGTCAACCCATGGCTGTCATGGAAACCTGACATGTTTCAATAACCGGAAATCAAATGTGATCAAATAATTTAAACATAAAGATAAAATAAGTGATAAGTGTCCTATTCGAGTGACTTTTTCCTGGAAGATATAAGTCATGACGTGTATAGAAGCAACCTGGAGCAATACAACAGAAAAGGAAGATTTATCGATATTTTTTTAATCACGAGAAAAATTGGAAAACCTGACTCACACAAGCACCCAACACGTGTCAGATATTTTAAATTCACGAATTTTTGATTCAATAAAATTGGTGAATAAGTAAATATTTTAACCTCAAAATTATAACAGTGATTAGATAAATTATTGGAAACTGTAAATAATTAGCAACAAATATCAAATGCATTACTGAAAATTTCAAATAAATCACGAGCATCGTTTTTCCTAAAATCCATAATTTAATCAAAAGGCATAGTAATCGTCTAACTCTTGCAGCCCAAACTGCATGCCAAAAGCAGAAGATATTGTACAACACGAAAAACAAATCAGAAAAATAAAAATGGTTCAAAGTTGCTTCATCTTCAACTCTAGTTACGAAGTTTGTCGTCTGATGGAGTCACTGTTCAAGACTCGTCGTCAATTCAAGGAAACGCTTTAATCGACGAAGCTCTCGTCCTTAATTACATAGAGTGACTCCGTGTAAACAGGATGGCCTCCATGACTCGCGCTCCAAATACGAAAATATTTTACCAAAGTCCACCAAATTATTTAGAGAGCTCGTCGGGAACCAAATATTTGTGTGTGTCCGAGGAGAAACTTCGTGACTTGGGTACCGCAGCGTCAACATGAAAAATCTTGGCCCCAGAAATGGTGAGGCCGGTGGAGGCAAATCTAAGTATTTTTGCCCAACGCTGCACAAAAAATCAGAGAAAACAAAGCGTGACGCACCGCTCCTCCGGAAGCTTCCTTTTAGGGATAAGACTACCAGAAGAAATCATGATTTTTCATCAACTTTGGAGCGCGTTTTCAGAAATCGCAGCCCAGGGGAAACTCTCGAGAGTATACTTAGTTCATTTTATCTATTATCCAAACGAATTGATCTCAGGGAAAGCCCCGTGTATATACCAAAATTAAAGAATTATGGAGAAAAACCTACAGCCCGAAGCAACTTATGCGATGGTGTTGATATCAGAAACTGTTCTAGGGGTAACTGTGATACTCAAAATAATAATTACATGTTAGACAACTACATTAACATAAGTGGCATAAATAACGAACAACTTACGACAGTTATGATGGAACATTCTGACGACTGTGAAGCTCATATAAGTAACGAACCCATCCTCCAGTCGCGCGATTCCTGCGAGTCCTTCGATGACGTGTTCAGGAGTTCCAAATTATACTCGAGTCATTCTCTCGGAATGAAGAAATCGAACAAACGACGGAAAATCTTCTTCCCACTGAGCTTTTCGAGCATTTTATTGTTGTTATTTGTGGTCTCTTCAATTGTACACTTGGCATCGGCTGGAAAAAGTGAAAACAAAGAATTGATTAAGTCGAAGGAGCTGAAGGAATCGAAGCAACCAAAGGAAGTAAAAGATGAAAAGGAAAAAGAATCAGGTAAGAAGATCAAAATACCTGGGGACGTGATATTTGGAGGACTCTTCCCCATGCACGAAAGGGGAAACGAAGGGGAGTCATGTGGCGATATAAAGGAGGAAAAGGGCATTCAGAGGCTAGAAGCCATGCTCTACGCCCTGGACCTGATCAACGAGGACGAGGAACTGCTGCCGAACATAACGCTAGGTGCACTTATCTTGGATACGTGCACGTCTGATACCTACGCCCTGGAACAGTCAGTGGAGTTCTTCAGGTCATCTCTCAGCTCCGTGAGTACGCTACAAAATTAAGTTGTGTATTGAATTTATATTTTAAAACCTACATTGAAATTTATATGAAATTTTATGGAAAATTCATTTCACAAACGATGGATGCAAATGAATTTTCTTTAATTAATCTTGTAATTCACGATAGAATGAATAATTGTATGAAGCATTATTATTGAAAATTACACAAGTACTTTATAATTGCTTAACCAGGGAATAAATAAAATAATAAGGAATGATTTCAAAAGCACCTGACGTTGCTCCCACTGACATACCAAGTCGATTTTGTACTTCTGTATTAAGTACGATGTTTTTCGCACGCAACTGCTTGACCAGTCTGAAAAAGTCTGAATAGTAAGTAATTTAATTAAAAATATATTAAAAAGTAAATTCACTATTTTTACTTTAGTTGGCGCTTTATTTATTTTTAAATTTTCGATAAACTTGCGATATAAGTACAGAGACGACTTTCATTGTCGGAAATCCTCCAGCACTTGCAGACTCTTTGGTAATCTCTGCAGCGCTTGATCGGTAGCTGTGATACAGCACAACTGCTTTCACGGCACGTCCATGACGGACGGAAAGATGCATGGCTTTATCATGAAAATCTTTACAGAAATTCACTCGGAAATTGTGCCTTGCAATAAGCTAGGAATGTGCCATTGTCCTCCTAGTGTTCAATTTTTGACCCTTTGACTGAGAGCCCATGGTTGCCTTTGTAGTAGCTTTGAAATAGCATTTAGACGATAAATTCCCTCATGCTAAAGCCGTTTTCTGAACAAATGTCACTTACAGGTTATAAATTATTGAATATGATCATTATATCATGATAGACTTGATATAATGCTGCTACATCCTATGGTACTTATACTGAATGTAATGATAATATGCCAAAATTAATTCCTCAAGTTTATCAAGTGGAAACAGATCAATCAAAGTCTGCGGAAAAAGCCACCCGCATTTAGATATCTTTGAGGAGCATTTCTCCTATAATTAACATTACATTTAGATTAAAAATCACAATAGAAAAATAAGCGGTGCAAAGAACAAATTGAGTGGGATGCCTGCCTTTATTTGAGGAAATATTAAATATATTCCATACGTATCCAGAACTATATCCCTAACTAAATTCGGAATATGCTTCAGCATCTGTCCCAGAGTTGCTATGTTCGCGTAAGAGTTATTCTGGGTCAGTTGGCCAACTGATCGCAATTAGCGACTAGTCAGAACCTCTTTGTTGACTTTATAGTCTCCTGAGAGTAGGACAAGAGTTGGCAGAATAAGTACCAGGTGCTTGTAGCTGTCTGATTCGGGGACCGGAATGTAGACCGATAAGCGGACATAGGGAAGCTGGTGGTCTATGCTTCCCGAGTCCTGGGCGTTACTTACTCCAGAGTCGCCCTCGGCTCTAAATTTTGTTATGGTTGCAGTTCTAATTAGCGTCATGGTTTTTCAGCGATGAGGTTCACAACAAACGAGCTTGGTAGCAGGAGGCTGTCCCGCGCAAAGTATTTTTATTGAGTTGGTGAGCTTGGCGGGTCATCGCCCGCTATATCGGCCTGGCCGACAATATCCATTAAATGGGACATTAATAATCCGTCGCTGATTCTTATGTGGCAATATCCGTAATAATGATATTAATAATCTGTTGCCAACGCTTATCTTTCAATATTCGTTAATAAGGATAATAATAATCCATTGCAGATTCTTTTAAGGCAATATCCGTTAAGAGAGATAATAATTAGCCATTGCGTATTCTTATCCAGCGATGTCCGTTAACAAGGATATTAATAACCCGTTGCTGATTTTTCACCGTCATTATCCGGTAACAGGAATATTAATGATCATTAACCTATGCTTGTAATCAGTTGCTTGTTGTAATCACTTGTGTCAGTAACTAGGGCATTAATCATCCTTTGCACAAGCATTAAAACAAAGGCAACTGAAAATATTTGACAAGATAGAGCTTCAGCTTTATAATCATTACGAAATTGAAGTTAATTTTTAATTAATATGCAGTCAATATGCACAAGGAAATTAAATCGATCGTATTCAGTATTTATTGCAGCTAGAAATATTTGAGCATCGTCTTCAATTTTTTAATGATGGTACTTTTGTTTTATGAATTTACCGCAATTCGCGATGACGACATTCGTGTGGCAGCGCAGATGTTGAGAACAATGCTTGAAATAAAACAAAAATTCTCTTTAAATGGATTTTATCGCGAATACATTTCGATTTATCTAATATAGGCCGCAGATTTATTCGTAACAACTGTTACCATATGAAAATTAGTGAGTCAGTTTCAGTTAACAGCTTCATTACGATTTGATTATTCCTGAATTGACCCAGCAATTTACACAAAAAAATTAAAACGCAGATGTTTCTCAAATTATTGAATAAAGGATACAAATCTTTTTCATTCATTTCACATTTTTCATTCATTTCAGCAAACTATAGTAAATTCTTAATTTAACAGCAACTCAACTCGGCAAGATTGAAACAACGCGCTGGGTTTCATTGAGGATTTACCCTAAGTTGCACCCCAGTTTTGGACAGGACTATTGGACGTCGAACAGAGGATTTACCCTAAGTTGTACCCCAGTTTTGGACAGGACTATTGGACGTCGAACAGAGGATTTACCCTAAGTTGTACCCCAGTTTGGGACAGCTCCTGGACTATTGGACGTCGAACAGATCCTCATTCAATTAAACTGTCTGTAATTGAGACGATCTATCTAGATGGCAGCTGAATTAACCCTCGCGAGGATCATTCTTAAGTTCAATAGCAATTTATAGACAGGCCCTGAATCCTTGGTCTAGAGATCTTGGTCTGGGGATCTAATTTAGATCTCCTTGCCGGCATGGATCAGCTCAATGACCGTTGCTTGGAGACATCGCTAGACGAATTTAGGTTTCTGAATTCAGGAAACGTGTTGATGGAGTCCAGTTCTATGAAAGACTAATTTCATTAATACTTTTAATCTTTTCTGCATTAATTTCTCTGAATGCGAAAAAAATCCATTAACGATGTCAAATAGTTTAATACGAAATGTGGCGTTGAAACCTCAATTTTTTGTGACGGCATTCGCACTTCGACATTTCCTGAGCTCTAAGAAGTTATTTACCGAGAATAATAAACAGCAGACACTGAGAAAAATGTGGCTAAATTTCCGTACGCGTGAAAAAATTCCTTGTGTCTGGGATTGATAATCTGCCATATTAATGTCATAGGCAAAGCAGGCACCTCAAGGCTTATTCCATAGACAAGTAGCAGATAAACTAAAGTAATTACTGGCAAGACCAGGAAAAAAAATAATCGCCGGCATAAGCAGAACTTATATCGCGTTAGCAAAGGCTAATCTTGGTTGCTCACGGCACGCGCTCATCGTCTTGACGATTGCCACAAAGTGATCATCAGTGGCGGAATGACTGAGTTGCTGTGGCCACTCGTAATGTGGTGAGATGAGGTTGTTTACGACCCGCAGTGAGCACTAGAGACCTGCCGTGAGCCCCAGGGACCTGCATAGAGCAACAGTGACCCGCAGTGAGCATTAGAGACCTGCCGTGAGCCCCAGGGACCTGCATAGAGCAACAGGGACCTGCAGTGAGCGCCATGCAGAGACCTTCCGTGAGCACAAGGACCTGTCATGAGCACTAGAAACCTGCAGATAGCCCTAGGGACCTGCAGATAAGCAAGTTGAGCAACTTGCGGCTCTATATGCTGACTTGCGGCTAGCTGAATGACTTGAAAATGAGATAACTTGCTGCACGTGAATGACAGCGTCAAAAACTTTGACGCGACTGAGGAGCATTAACACTAAAAATGTTTAAATGCGAGAATGTCTAACCTAATTTTGGTTTGACTACAATTTTAAATTTCAATGGAGATCACGGTTTTTGCGTGAATGTTTTATGAAGTAGAATAGATATAATGCAGAGGCGGTTTTCTTCTGGCGCTTGAATTCCTAACGAAAAATGCTCGTATGAAAAATTTCGAAATTGTCACCGCAGCTTGTATACGCAGGAAAAGCGTAGTACGAAACGTCGCTTTTAGTCGCTTGCCTTGAAAGTCGAGTTGCTATTCAACAAATGTTGAAAGTAAATACACAACGAGAGAAATATTCCGACCAGGGACGATTATGAAAACCTTCAAAGTTGCTTCCGGTATACGAGGCTTTCTTTAGGTTATTTCCACAAGTTAAAGATTCAAGTTTCATTGTTAAGATGTCGATCAAATCTTGAAATTGCTTCCAATTCAATAACAAACGATCGATCAATTTATTTAATTCGGCAACGATACGAGGCTGTTGAAAAGTGCACCAGATGGAATGTAACATTATTGCATTAATAGAGTGGGTAAAGTACTTTGTATATATTAAACTGTTCGTACAATTCTGACTTTCCTAAATGTAAATTAGCTGTGAGACAAATCAGAGATTGCCTGACATGAATTCTAATAATTAATGTAATGAATTCTAATAATTTTCATTAACTCTTTCCTGAGAATTCTATGTGAATAAGAAATGTTAAACCTGTGGCAGTCATGTTGTTCAAAAACTTATATTTATTCGCGGATAAATAAAGACGTTGTTAGCAAATCTGTCCTGAGTCTGCAGAAGCGGAATGAAAAAGTTGAGACTCTCACATCGAGTCCACAAGAAGAGCCTTAAGGGGGAGCTTTGATATTTTATTCCTTGAATGCATATTCTGTTGAAAATTTACGCTCGTATTCCAGTTTACCCTTGGCGAATTAATGCGTGTTTAATGCTCGTAAGTTAGAGAATCTCAGAGCACCGATTAGAAATGCTCGTTAAATATCAACTTGAAGCGTTGCAAAACTTTTAGGGCGCTTGATAATAAATAATATTAGTTCAAAACGTCTCAGAAATAGAGTATAAAATGTCCCTGGGAACTTACTTTACAACTTCCAAATCAAACTGAAAATCATATTAAGAAAATTGGAAGAAAAATATTATAAAATCTGTTAATGAAATAGTCCATGGGTTTGAAATAAAACCTACATTGAGATTAAAATACATGGGTTTATATTCCATATTTATATGCCACACAATGGTGCGTTATAAGGTGCGCAGCGCAACACATTGGTGAAGATTTTTATAATTAAAATTCTGTTTGGATAATTGACCTAGCTGGACCAAAGTTCTCACGATTGTGCAGTATGTGTTTTCCAGTCCTTATTTCTAATCTTCGTTCAATTTTTCAATGCAAATGGTAAATAAATCCAAAATTGAATTTTAAATGCTTGCTAGAACTGTCCATTGGGCATATTTCACACCCGCAATCACAGACTCAATCCATTTGTGTGGATTAGGTCCGATATTCCCAAGACGAGTCCGAACAAATCCTCCATCAATCTTTCACACCCTTCCTCCAGCCCTCACTCGGCTCACACCTCTCATCACATCCTTCCTCCAGCCCTCACTCGGCTCACACCTCTCATCACACCCTTCCTCAAGCCCTCACTCGGCTCGCACCTCTCAACACACCCTTCATGTAACCCTCATCCGGCTCACACCTCTCATCACACCCTTCCTCCAGCCCTCACTCGGCTAACACCTCTCATCACACCCTTCCTCCAGCCCTCACACCTCTCATCACACCCTTCACTCATCCTGCCTCGAATTAAGTAAGGCCCCGGAAGAAATCAGTACATTGAACAATGAATAATTCATGCAGGCGACAGGGGCTGAGTTTTTGGAGGCGGCTGTACCGCAGCCCGCAGCATCGATCAGTCACGGCGGCAAATAAACAGCGATGCTCGAACTGGCAGCAGTTTGTCATGGAGGCAGCGCTAGCAGGGGGCGGGTGTGGCGTGCGTTAATGAATGTAACTTGTTGGTACATGGTCCTAACTGGCATTATGGATGTAATTTGAGTGTAATATATGTAGCTCAGGACAAAGTGATGTTATTGGCTCAGTAAATGTAACTGGCGGTAAAAAATGTAGCAGAGTGATCAAAGGATATTGATGAGTAGATATATGTAACTTGGGATTAAACGTACCTGACTGTTTCAGAGATTTAATTTTCACAGCGAATATTTCGAGGTAATATATTTTACAGCATTCCCCATATTTGGAGGACAAATACTTATAAACGCAAATTAAATTTTTACGATGTCTTTCAGTGATAGAAAAGGACCAATCAAATTACATCAAAGTGATAAATGTACCATTGCTTCCTAGAAATGTAACTGGGGTAAATATTCGTGACTGCTCGTTGCTATAATGTCACACGGATAATAAATGCCACTGGGGCTGAATCAAGATTGAAATAATAAGCAATAAATACTGTTATATAATTAATTAAGCTATTACAGATGTTTCTGTGACCACCAAATGAACCACATACTAAAAATGTAACTTTGTTACCGAGGTATAACTGGGGTAAAAAATTATGACACAGAAGGCAAGGGTAAATGAACAATAGTAATTGTGAGGAACTACATGGTAACTTTATTAAGAAAAATATACGCCTCAGGCTACTCTTATCTCAATACTTACCAAGTTATTTGTGAGGGATAAAAAAGACCAAAGATTGAAGAAGCAATCGATTATCAATAAATTATTCACGAAGGCTGGGAATAAATCATACCGGGAGGTTAGTAATCAGATTCAAGAATTATTGGTGGTCAAGCGATGGCCTTTCAGAGCCCTGTAATTTGCCTACAAAGCTCCTCGCAACTCCCCAATTTAGACCTCATGATCGGGGGGCTACGAGTCAGAGGCTNAGCCTTCCCGTTGTAACCGAGGTGTATATTCCAGACCTGGGCGGGAATAGAACCTGTCTCTTATACACATCTAGATGTGTATAAGAGACAGATTCAGAGGCTACGATTCAGAGGCTACGAGTCAGAGGCTACGATTCAGAGGCTACGATTCAGAGCTACGATTCAGAGGCTACGATTCAGAGGCTACGATTCAGAGGCTACGATTCAGAGGCTACGAGTCAGAGGCTACGATTCTGAGGCTACGAGTCAGAGGCTACGATTCAGAGGCTACGAGTCAGAGGCTACGATTCAGAGGCTACTATTCACGGAGCCCTGGCAGAAATATCGATACAAGCCCTGCATCGCAAGCATGCAGTCGACATGATTCATTCAGAGCCAAGCCCTGCATCACCAGCATGCAGCCGACATGATTCATTCAGAGCAAAAGAAATTGATTAATATTGCTCCAGAATTTACTGTCAGAAACTGAGTACAATCTCAAATCAAAGTTTCCAGGAAGCAACATAGATTGTTTTCACATTCCAGTAGTTCAGGAATATACAGGTATTAAATGACATTTAATATTAATGCGAATTTCAGACGAGTTTGGATGGAATTTACTATTACTTATATTAAGTTGGCGCGTGGAAGTAGTTTGTCACATAAAGGCAATGGGGAAGATAACAAGTCATGACCATGAGGACGTGTTGAGGAAGATAACAAGTCATGACCATGAGGACGTGTTGGGGAAGATAACAAGTCATGACCATGAAGACGTGTTGCGGAAGATAACAAGTCATGACTATGAGGACGTGTTAGGGAAGATAACAAGCCATGACTATGAGGACGTGTTAGGGAAGATAACAAGTCATGACCATGAGGACGTGCTGGGGAAGATAACAAGTCATGTTGGGGAAGAGGAACGCCTTGCGTTGCCGGCCAAATAATTCACGTTTGACGGTCCATGGCAGAGCCTGTCTTGTTAGCAGCTCCCACCGGCGAGCAGCCGTCACTACGGCCACAGCACCGACACGTCGTTTAAGCGCCCGCCACTCACCAAACAAAATTCGGGACCGTCTAGGATTTATCCGGATAGTCGCTACACTCGGCCTAAAGTTATTTTCGGTCTCCCTGGCCACCCCATCTTTTTCTGGCATGAATTAATCGCCTTTCTGACTTCATAGTCGCCTGGGAGTATGAAAACTTGAAAAGGGTTGGCCGAGCCGAATGATGCTGATCTTACAAGCTGCTCAGAAGCTGCCATTCAAACTGAGAGCCGAAGCGGACATGAGCGGCTGATTTACATGCTCCTCGAATCCTAGGCGACACCTATTACAGAGTCGGGTCCGCATCTAAGATTGTCAATTAGGGTGCGGTCACGGCACCGACACGTCATTCAGACGCTACAGTCACCTCACCGACACGTCGTTTAGGCGCCCGTCACTACCACCATCACATCGACACGTCGTTTAGGCGCTCGTCAATGACAACCAACGGGCGCGCTAAGCCTCAGATGACGATATCGAGACGATGCTGGGCTTAGTGCTGCAGCCTCGCATGGCTCGGATATTTGCGGATATTTGTCCGCAAATATCCGCATGGCTCGCATGGCTCGGATATTTGTCTACTTGAATTCGTGGTCTGGGTTTGTGCGTGGTCTGTGTCGTCACTACCACCATCACATCGACACGTCGTTTAGACGCTCGTCACTACCACCATCACATCGACACGTCGTTTAGATGACCGTCACTACCACCATCACATCGACACGTCGTTTAGGCGTCCGTCACTATCACCATCACATCGACACGTCGTTTAGGCGCCCCTCACTACCACCATCACATCGACACGTCGTTTAGGCGCCCGTCAATGACAACCAACGGGCGCGCTAAGCCTCAGATGACGATATCGAGACGATGCTGGGCTTAGTGCTGCAGCCTCGCAGGGCTCGAGATATTTGCGTGCGTTTGTATACTTGAATTCGTGGTCTGGGTTTGTGCGTGGTCTGTGCTTGCGCTCATAAAGTTAGTAAATATATTTAAATTTACATTAAAAAATTAGAAGGGTGAATTCAAATGTACAAGGAGCTCGTGATACCGGAATGGTACGGACGAGTGCTCCCAGTTGGTATAGACAATTAAGTGAAATCAATATGACTTTTGTTTCAGGAACCACAGAGCATTGTCGATGGTTTGGAACGAGCTCTTTCAAGCAAACGGCAATTAACCCAAGGCATTAGTTATAAAGATACTTGTTGATGAGAATTTTATTAAATCATTGCTTTGATACAATATTATAAGTTACGCTTCCAATTAATTAACAAAATAAAATACTTTGATCTAAATCGCTCGCTAGTTCACTACGGCACTATTTCCAGTGGGATAATTTAGACGGTTCAAAGCTTAGTGTGACCAGCATCGTTTTCGAAACAACTCCAACGCAAATTTAAAACTTAGTTCCACAATGTCGCATCGACCAAATAGCCTGAACATAGCGCATCAGGACTCGGGTGCCACTGAATTTTTCAGGCGCGATATCGAGAAACGTGCGGAACTGCAGTGGCATTTCTTTGTGTCATGAATGCGGCGGCAACCAAGTAAAAAGTTCGCTTTCAACACAAATTTAAGCTGCTTTGCGACTGGTTGCAATGCGCTCTTTCATCCCATTTAAATAGGGAATTAAGCTACGCGCAAATAAATGTTTTGTCCTGTGCAAATTCAATTACATGAAGAGGTTCATAGAATTCGTATACATTCTTGAATCATGTAGCGTAATGCACAGACCCAATTGTCATAATGTGGCGTCAAGGACCAAAGAACATTCCGTGCAGTTCGTTTACATTTCAGAAGCGGGTGCGAGCATTGCTGAAGTTGTCGTGTGTGCTTGAACTCAGTTTATGTCACTCATCACATACATGAAAAATATACGAATTAAAAATGTTTTTATCGTTGGAATTCTTTCTATGCGAGAATGAAATGTTTTCCTGCATGCATTTAAAGCAAACCTGGGCATAATGCATAAAAAACAATATAAGCACTGAAAAATTTATTCCTGTATGAAAGAATGCATATTTCACAGAAGAATCTATAAAAATATTAATAGAAAGCAGTCAGTATATACATACGTAAAGAAACATTCAAATCTCCGATCATCCATTCGTTCAACAATTCATGCCTTGCAATAACAGAGAATTTGGTTTTCTGTTTGTACATTTGACATAATTATTCGAGTCATAAAACGCTTAAAACTATCGATTCCCTGTCATTACCACAAAATGTGGACTCGTTCCTGAGACCAACAATGAATTCAGTCTCAGAGATTACCATTCTTTCCCGTCAGCCTTCCCGTTGTAACCGAGGTGTATATTCCAGACCTGGGCGGGAATAGAACATTCCTGGAAAGCTGCCAGTTGCCAGGAATTGGAATTGATGTGTCCTCCAGTTACTCTCTGCTAATGGAATCATCCTGCTTATGGATGCTGATGTACAGATGCAATGTGTTGGGTAAATTCAATAGACGTCAATGGTTCATTGGAGGAATTGAACGACGTGAAGTGAAGTGAGAAGACTGGTCACCATATCAATTATTAATGATTGTTTACGTGATAAATAAATACGATCGATTAGTAAAACAAAGCAGGCTCGGGAAAAATATTAGACAGATTAGATAGATGAGATTTGACTGAACACCGATTGTTAATTTCCGAATCTTTCTTAAACAAAGGTATGACGATGACGACATTACAGTAAAAGGACACCCAAGCATTCTTGAGTAAACCTAAGAAAGAGTTCCTAGTGTTTACTGTGTAATGATGAGGAAGCGAAGGACATATTTTTTTGTTAGTCCTTTTAATGCTCTCACCGAGGATGATGAATATGTACTTTGACGATGAATAGCTATTTTGAATAATATAACGAGTGAATTTAGCAGCTCCTACGGAAAGTCACGAGTAATTTATAAATAATTAATAACTTTTGATGATGACGAGGAGAAAGCGATTTTTATTGAGGTCTTAGGTGTTATCCACTGAATGAAAGGAAATTAATACAAATAGAACGCCATGATTTTGCGCACGCCTTTAACATTACAGTCATAAAATGTCTTTGACAAGCTTCTGTCACATGGCCTCAATAAATTCGATTACGTGCCCCTGACAAGGCTGCCATCGCGTGCTCTTGACAAGGCTGCCATTGCGTGCTCTTGACAAGGCTGTCATCACGTGCTCTTGACAAGGCTGTCATCACGTGCTCTTGACAAGGCTGTCATCACGTGCTCTTGACAAGGCTGTCATCACGTGCTCTTGACAAGGCTGTCATCACGTGCTCTTGACAAGGCTGTCATCACGTGCTCTTGACAAGGCTGTCATCANTCATCATTTATACGCATGACGTTACTCATCATTTATACGCATGACGTCATTCATCATTTATACGCATGACGTCACTCCTCATTTATACGCATGACGTCAGTCATCATTTATACGCATGACGTCACTCATCATTTATACGCATGACGTTACTCATCATTTATACACATGACGTCACTCATCATTTATAGGCATGACGTCACTCATTATGGTAATTAGATTAGCCTTACCTAAGCTGCATTAGGCCAGCCTGAGCTGATTGAGTAAGCACCACAAGCGCGCACCTAAATGCGAGGCAGACGCTGCCCTTGCATTTATACGCATGACGTTACTCATCATTTATACACATGACGTCACTCATCATTTATAGGCATGACGTCATTCATTATGGTAATTAGATTAGCCTTACCTAAGCTGCATTAGGCCAGCCCGGCCTGATTGAGTAAGCACCACAAGCGCGCACCTAAATGCGAGGCAGACGCTGCCCTTGCATTTAGCGCTGGTGCGATGTAAATGCATTGCATAAAATTATTAAATCTTCACAATGTGTGTTGACCGCATAATACAGTGAAAAACGCAAGTAATGTAACTTACTAATAGTTAATTTACCTAAAAACTAATTCAATCATTATGTAATTACTTTTTAGCAACCAACGGTTTGTCTAGATTGGTTGTTAACTTTCATCGTTTCGAACTGATTTGACTTCACACGACCGTATCTCCCGGTCATACAGGAGCTTCAGTTCTCATTATTGTACAAATGGCAGCCGGACACAAAATTTGAGCCTCCAACTGCAACAAATTTTTGATTGCGAATCCGGCTTTGATTTTGAATTGAAATTTATGGTAGCAGAGAGGGAAGAAACTTTAGTATTATTTTGCTGGATATTCTAGTGAGCGACATAACCCGCATTTAGAACGCTGAATTCCATCTTTAAATGTCGTTGATCTACAATTTCTGGCATAATAAACCTGACTTTCATTATTATTACACATCGCGATTCTGTCGTTACTTGCCCCGTACTGAGTCCTGGATATTCTGAATACAATCAGTGATATCTTACCCCGCAGGATAAGCCGTAGTATTTTACCCCGCAGGATAAGTAGCAGAATTTACCCCCCGCAGGATAAGTCGCAGTATATTACCCCCGCAGGATAAGTCGCAGTATTTTACCCCCGCAGGATAAGTCGCAGTATTTTACCCCCGCAGGTTAAGTCGCAGCATTTTACCTGTCTCTTATACACATCTAGATGTGTATAAGAGACAGCTGCTGCTGTGAGCAGTAACTGCTGCTGTGAGCAGTAACTGCTGCTGTGAGCAGTAACTGCAGCTGTGAGCAGTAACTGCAGCTGTGAGCAGTAACTGCTGCTAAGCAATAGCAGCAGTTATCAATAAGTGTCGTGGCAGGAACGGCCTGTGGTCACGCAGCCTCAGCGCATGTCTGCTCGGCGTGATGCAGACACGACAGCTCGGTCTCGCCATCACGAACCTCTCTCATTATAGCATTAAATTAATTCTATCAATTATCTACTGTGTGATGAAGTCGTTTTGAAATAAGCTAAAAGCTTACTTATTTACTCACTAGTTACTGGTTTCCCATAATACATTTAAATCATGGCCATGAAATCGTTTTGTGAATTATTAAATTAATTTATCTTATACTAGATTGATATTTTGAAATCTTATACTAGACTGATATTTAGAAAAATTCCATGAAGTTAACAACTGCATTAAGTGAACAAGATGCACATTTTTTTTCATTTGAGGTTTATGTAAATCTTTAAATGACCTTGAATTGTAAGTGTTTTTGAATTAATTTTGTCAGGTAATGAATTAAAACTGTGTTAATAATGCACGATAAATAATTTGATAATTTGTAATGTGAAGCTTAACGTCTCATCTGACAGCTCCCAAAGATAGCTTTCACAGAACTCGTGTCGATTTGCAGCGATAGAATCCATATTTTCCTTTCAATATGGACGATAAAATCAAGTTCATTCACCTTACCTCAAGATTTAAAGGTCCCGTTAACTTAAAATAGAAAAATTACTCCTACTTCTCGAAAAATAAAATAAAGGAAGGACGTAATTTTCTTCAAAGTTTAGTATGTCTTCTAAGGGTTAGAGCAGACAAAATTATAGAAAGTTGTTTCCTTTTAGCACATTTTCTCATTGATGGAAAAATGCACTATTGTGCTCGCCAAGTCCGTCTGTCTGTCCGTCCGTCCGTCTGTCCGTGACCTCAAGTTTTTGTCGACGAGAAAATGCGCTCTCTGTCACTCACTGCAGTGAGTACTGAGTTATATTTTTTCTATGACAGATCCCGCAGATCAGTTACGCGTCGACGTCTACAGAGCTGTCCGACAAAACCAGGTTCGAGTTCTTCAGTCGCGTCGTCCCTCCCGATAACTTCCAGGCTATGGCGATGGTCGAGATCGTCGGTGCTCTGGGCTGGGAATACGTGTCAACTCTGTCGGTCGAAGGTGGATACGGTGAAAAGGTAAACAAACCCCCCGTAGACTTTCTGTAACTGAAAATGTTATGTACCGATGCCGTGGAAATTTTGTCCACATACCCGTGGACTTTCGGCAGCTGGAATTGTTTCCCCGCGGTGTGGTAAATAGGTTTATACCAGTTTATTTTTTCACACAGAAGACGATAAATATAACAATGAGATTTATGAAAATTGATTCATTCCTAACGGAAACCTTTTCATCGACGAGACGGTTGAAAGCAGGCATGGTAAATTCCATTGCTCATAACGGATTGGCCAGAATCTTCATTTGTATTTCAAATGTAATTTTAACTCCAGCTAGAATTTCGTAGATTTTTCTCTGCCAACTTTAATTTGGAATAATTCTTGTTAAATTTCAAAGTTAATTTGTACATGTTTTTTAGGAACGCAATCTGATAGTTGAAAAACAATGTCTTAATGCAATAAGTTTTTGAAAATTTTTTTTTACAGAAAATAATAAATTTTCTGTCGAAACGTGTGCATGCAAACAATAGAGCTTAAAGAAGTACTTTGAAAAAAAATCAATGTGTTCACAGAAAATACGTTCAAGTAAGTTTGTTTACTTAGTGAACAGTGCCTGTAATAGGAAGGCAACCAATTAACGTAATTCATTAGGGGCCATACTTTCAAAACTCGCTAAGTGAACGTAAGTACTTACACTCTATTTTCTTGTCTATGATTGGTGGATTTTGCTTGAAAGGCCGTCAATGATTGGCTGATGAACTTACGATCTCTTAACTTTTTTTAAAGTATGGGCCCAGAGCTTAAGGGTGGATCCACGTGTTGAACTTAGCTTCAGCAAATAGTGTTTCACTGTTCTGAGTTCGTGCAAATGGTAGAGCTTAACTTCAACAAATCTTATACGACTGTGTTAGCTTGATACAAATAGTAAAGCTTAGTGCCAATAAATCTTATACGACTGTCTTAAGCTCACACAAATGGTAAGGCTTAGCACCGCAGTTTGGGGCAACGAGGAAGAGCCGTCGTGTCGACAGAAACTCTTACGCTAAAATCTAACAAACTTAAATACATTTTGAGATAAATTTTTATAAAAATGGTTTCGTTATTGCTGCAGAACTTTTCGTCAATATTGTGGACGCGATGGTGATATGGAGTAACTTATCAGAAACTAGAGGTACAAAGCTTTATTGGGATCTTCAAAAAATATCAAACCTAGCTTGTCAAGAGCACCATTACCCCCTACAGATAAGACATGCTACTAGGCAACAAGCCCTTCTTACCAACCCTTACCAACAAGCCCTTCATACCGGACACTTCTAAATTATAATACAAAAACGCACGAATTGTGGAACCATTAGACGAATTCAAAAGTAACCATTTGCGTTGAGAAGCCTAATACCGCAGTCGAAAAATTGAGTTACAGGTCTATTCGCGGCAAGTTGGAACTCCCAGATTACACGAACTAAGTTTCCTCCTCATGTGAAGTTTATTTGTGCCAAATCTTCCATTAGAGAGGGAATTTCAACGAGCTTTACTCGAAGTGCTCTGAACCTCAAGGTAGAAGATGAATTTGGTGCCCACGTCCACCTGGAATAACCATTATATACACAAAATAGGTTTAATATTCTAATCAAGCTAAGCTTAGCAACAAAATTACGATTGGGGGATGTATGCCAGTATTTATCTTATGCATTTTACATGTTGGAAATGGCTCTAATCAACAGAATAGAATTTTTAACTAAGGGCATCGTCAGGTCATGTCCACAAGATCCAAAGGCTTACCCGCCACCCAAAAAGATCATGAAAGTCACCGCTTCGGAGATCTAATAACCATAGGAACGATATCCAGCAATACATATTAATAAAATTACTGCCCCATTTCACGAAATTCAAGCGACAAAAGATTGCAGTCACTCCCATCGCTGATCATTAAAAAAAGACAGTGCGAATGCAACGCATCCTACTCGTTACCAGCGTGAACCTCGACAACAAAAGACAGGAAGGAGTTTAGCGCAGCTACATCGCTACCAGTGAGAAAGAGCTGTGAATTAAATTCGAGTTCAAGGAATATTTGAAAGCCTTGGCATGGATTTTCAAAATTTATGCGGTAGCTCAGCTTATTGTTCAAAAAGCCACGCAGTTCATCTTTAAATGAACATTTATTCAGTATCGTTGTACGAATATTTGAAACTCTGAATTCTTTGCGGATGTTCAGGGGATCGCGTCGTTCATCAGCCTGGCGGAGAAGGCCGGGATTTGCGTGGCTGTCTCGGAGACCATCTTAAGGACCATGTCCAGGCCTGAGGAGTTCGATGCGCTCATCCAGCGACTCCTGATGAAGCCAGAGGCGCGAGCCGTAGTTATGTTCGTCGATGAAGACAACATCAGGTGATACATAAAAAAAGTACTAATGCGAGTACAATTTATTTTAACGAATTTTCCATGTATTCTATGAAGTTTTTTTAACTGATGATGGAACTAATCTTCGAAACTTTTCATTGTATATAAATGATGACTTTGCTTGTCGGTTTCTTCGTTTTTAAATTATTTGTGAACTTATAATTTAAGCAGGCTGATAATAAATATACATTTTCATTAATTAATCACAGTGAACAGAAGAATACGGTTAAAGTGAAAGATCCAAAAAGCCTAATATATTGTCGGCGCTGAAAAAAGGCGCACAAACTGAACCTATTTATTATTATATCGATTTCTCTCACAGGAAAGTCATTGCAGCAGTTACCAAGGCCGGAAAAATTGGCCACTTTCTTTGGATAGGCAGCGACTCTTGGGGGGCCAAGAGCTACCCTGTTAAAGAGCAAGAGGTCGCTGCTGAGGGAGCCATCACCATCCTGCCCAAGAGGACCGCCCTCAAGGGTGAGCAGTGCATTTAATTCTAAATTTTTACTTTGATTCTGGCCAGGTAAAATGACAATGACTGTCACAGTTTGCCTTAATTTCAAGAGATTCTAATGTCTCTAACATTTTGCTCTATATTCTATGAGATGCAACGACCTCCGTCATTTTTTTTCAAGAGATACGAATGTCGAACGACCTACGACATTTTGCTCTTTATTTCAATAGATGGTAATGCATCCGACAATTTGCTCTCTATATGAAGAGATGGAACTGCCATCGAGGTGGTTCAACGGCTTTAAGACGATTTTGATTCAGAACGACATTGCGCCCTTGGAATTATGGAATGACTTATTATTCATGTTGCGAATAAAATGACGCCTTCACTTATATGGTTAAATCTGCCCCTTGAAAAGGAGGTTTTGTTTTCTTGTATTACAAATTAGACAATTTGCGAGGCAGTTTTTCATGTAAAACAAGCTAGCAGTCATTAATTTAAAAAAATTAGCTATTTGCCGCACGAAAGTAATCGTTTAAATATCACATTCTCTTCGGACTTTCCCCCCTTTCAACCGAGCTTTTCGTCCACTGGCTTAATCTCGAAAGTAATACTGCAGTTTTAGTCTATTTCCTATGCGTTCTCTATTTTATATCTGTGTCCGATCTCACCGATTCCCAGGTTTCGACGAATATCTGCAGAATTTAAAACCAAGGTTTAAGAAGAAAAAATGCGAAGAGGTTGTGGACGGAGTTCTTATCAAAAGAAATTGCCGTAATGTTTGGTTCAAAGAATACTGGACGAAACATTTCAACTGCACCTTCAACAGAAACGTGAGCAATCCGCTTGACACCAGAAACGATTGCACTGGAGATGAGGTCATCATGACAGAGCAAGAGGGGCTCGTTCCTTTTGTGGGTGAGTGGAAATATAGTGAGCCTTTAGAAATACTGAGCGATACTGAGTCCTTATAATTAACGTGTGGCACTGAGCACATAGAAATAACGTGTGACACTGAGTCCTTATAATTAACATGTAGGACTGAGCACATAGAAATATCGTGTGGCACTGAGCCCATAGAAATAACGTTTGGTACTGAGACCTTAGAAATAACATTTGGCACTGATCCGATAGAAATAACGTGTGGTACTGATCCCATAGAAATTACGTGTGGCACTGAGCCCATAGAAATAACGTGTGGCACCGTGAGACCTTAGAATTACTTATTGTAACCCTTAAAAACATTGAATGGTACATTATTCGTCACAAAGCACTGCTAATATAAACGAACATTATTCCATTCTTAAAATAGTTAACTTTTCCAACTTTAGGTAATTTTTGGAACCGACTCGACAAAATATCCACGAAAAGTCATTTACGACTTTACTGTAACATATTACGCGAACTTTCACACGGCAAATGGCACTGTTAACCTCATTATTACTTATCATTTCACGTGTTTCAAAATTTGTTGGCCCTTACCATTCACCAAGTGATGGATTAACTTATTAATTCGGGAATTTCCTGTAAGTTAAACAGCTGCCGACACAGCTAGCACCATCACTACCTTTTTTAATAAATAATAAGTTTCACTTTACTATGTTTCGAAATATGAGCTGGAAAATTTGTTGAAAGTTGAAAGCTGAAAATTTTTAACGAAAATATTAGTTGAAAAATATGTTGCAAAATATCAGTTTAAAATATACATAGAAAATATATCAGCTAAAAATATATTACAAAATATCATCTGAAAATTATATTGCAAAACAGCAGATAAAAATATTATTCAAAAATCAGCATAAAAATATCTGCAAAATAAAATATCAGTTAAAATTTTTTTGTAAAATGTCATCTGATGCAATAATCAGTTAAAAATTTTTTGTAAATGTCATCTGATGCAATAAAAGATGAGACAAAAGTAAGATGATAAAAGTAAGTTGTTCTGTACACGACAGTGGACGCAGTGTTCGCCATGGCAACGGCCTACCACGCTATGCTCGAGGACAAGTGCGGTAACATCACCCTGTGTCCTGAGGTTGAGTCGCCGCCTCCAGGTCCCGAGTTCCTATCCTACATCCGCAACGTATCCTTCATTGGTACGTGATATTCATGTGAAAAAATTAAGAATTCTTTTAAATATATAAGCTATGTTTATCCTTAAATAATCCATAATTTCGAATTTTAGATACGTCGAATCAAATACATCATTAAACAATCAAAATGTGATTGCTACACGAAAATTTTCGAGTTTTTGTGTCAGCTTCAATTTAAATGTTTTGGTATCAAGTTTTGGTATCAAGTTAACTGGGCTATTTTTGTTATTAAGTTTACATGGACATTTTTTGCTTTTAAGTTTACCGGAGCAATAAGTTTACCTGGGCATTTTTTATGCCGTGTATTGGTTATTTATTTTCAATAGCTTGCTTATGTACGTTCGTGAAGTTCTTGCAATATTATCAATTCCCGAAAATTAATAATTAATTAGTTAATGAGTGGCATTAATGTTTTTCCTAGATATGCAATACGGAAATCAAATAAAAATAAGTCAATCATTTAACTTATATCCGGAAAAAGTACTGCATCTATATAGTAATCAATTCTTTAACTTAATTTTCCACAACTCCGGCAGATATAACCGTATCGCCCGAATTCTGAACCTTTTTCTCAAACTCCTTGCATTTTCACACCGCTACAGGCAAGCAGGGCAGCAGAGTGAAGTTTAACGCGGACGGCGACGCGCCAGGGAGTTACTTCATATTTCAGTATCAGAAAACTTCTGACAAAAACTATGAGTATGTGCGCATCGGCAACTGGACTGAGAGGTGAGGAACTGTTATCGTATCTTTGATACGATCATTTACTTCAAACGAGGGATCGCATTCCTGTTGGTGGAAAGATTGCATCGCGAATACCCGTCATATATTTCAAGTTGCAGGCTCTATCTGCCCGTAGTTAACATGGAATACGATTTTTTTATCCTGAATACGACTGATTTACCATGAATGCAGTTACTCTACTCTGAGTACGATTATATAAGCCATTTATTCATTATTATAAATAAAATTCGATTATTTAAGGCATAATTTTACTAATTAAGTCATTATTCCATTATATGAGCTAGAACTCATTTGATAAACCCGTAATTCGATTACTTGATACAGAACATGAGTACTTGACCCTGAATAAGATCAATTTACTATAACTATGATTAATTAACCCCGAATAAGATTAATTCTCTCTGAATATAACTCTCTTGCCCTAGCTGGCTCCGAGTCACTGTAAACATTGTACGAAATTTCAGTGTGAGTTAGCAACCGCACGGGATTTTATGATTTTCATAGTGAATTTCAACAAATAAAAATCATGAACGGTAAAATCATGATCATGGTGCAAAAATGCATCGTTTTCTTAAAGTTAAACAATTGTAATGGATGATAATTGTAATGGATGATAATTGTAATGGATGTTGAATGGTTTGTCCAGCGATACTGGAGGCCACCATCTCAGACATGCCGCTAAGAAGCATTCTCACTCGAGACACTCCAGGTAAAAGTAACTTGAATTGATTTTGATCTTAACAGCACCTGCAGCAACTCACCCTTACACACTCGCTCTCACTTTTTATTAGTTTCTATAGAGAAAAATCAGAATGAGTTTAAAAAAATAACTCATTAGGTTCAAGTTTGATAAGCGTTTTACAATCTGAACGTTGATACTTTCATGCAATGGCACTGTAAACTTCGAGGCAAACCTAAATACTCGTTCTTTTAAAAGCACAGCAAATATATATTCGTGTTGCTTTAATTTTGATGAGCTTATGTCAAACAATATGCATTGCTCATTCACCCTTCTTTGATTTGAAGGCTTTACCAACACCCGCTTGATTCAAAGCGAGTGTTGGAATTCGGAATTAAAATTTAACTGTAATTCTAACAGCAAATTACTGCAGGTCAGTAAACATGGGGAAACTGAATTGACCGGTTCAATTTTCTCCAAACTTTTTGAGAGTAAACGATTGTTAACCATAAAGCATTACACTGTAACGCACCCAAAAGAATCTCAATTTACAGCAAATGTTGCTTTAAAATGTTAACAATAAAATTACCATGCACACTTTATAGCAGGAACGTCGTTAGAAAATATTCAAGCCGTTGAGCACGGTAGTATTGGCCCAACAAAGGTCCTAGTTTCAAATCCCTTTTTAATGCTCAAATTTGAAATCACAAATAAGATAACTGAAATTTACATTATTCTGTTCCTATTCCAAGCACCAGTAGCAGCACTTCCATGTTCTTAGACCTTCTACCTACTCCATCTCATTTGTTTGAGTAGATACCCGAACCTCACTGCTTAGTCTTTTTATTTTTCAATTGTACTTCAAAATTAAAAAAAATCTAAAAGTAACTTTACGCAGAATGATTTTTATATTTTCGATTTAGTACAACCAACCATTACCATTGAGTTATCTTAATAGCAAATTCATTAATTTCTTCGTCAAGTGGATTTTTGAAATAAAATTAAAATAAACGATGCTACTAAACCGCTGATTTGTTATACTTTTAAACCACAGTCAATATCAATCAAGTAGACCAAACCTTCCACTATTTTGAGCGCACTGACACAATTATTTTAGCTATCCTTAGTAGGTACCTGCCTAAGTTTCACATCCAAGAAAAGTTTATATTTATCTAGAACTTTACTTACTATCAATAAAACATCACTTCTCACATGTATAATTTATAATAAATCTTTTCCACGTAATTGTCATCATCACGTTTCGACGCCCATCATTGAGTACGCACGCATAAAAAATGCTTCTCAGTTGTACTTCTCTAGAATTTTTAGATTTCACCTAAACATGAACTAGATTTTTAGGCACAACCCGCTATAAAAATAAAACCAATCTCTATAATTATTTTGCGCAACAAACTATACCTTCATACTTCCCTGATGTAACCATCATGACATAAACCTAAAAAATTACTGCGGCATTGACATCGATGAGCTAATCACTACACTAACAAAATTTTGAGGTGGGCGCAACTCTGTATTAGGGTCCGCCCAAGACTCGGGGAGAACGTAAATCAGCTTCTCTATATCCGCCTCAGGTCAGGGTTTAAATGGCAGACTCTGGCAGCTTGCTAGCTCGGTATGACTCGGCTCGGCCAACCTTCTTTATAATAATCCTAGTTGAGCCAATCACATTCAATAAAAAAAAGGAAATAGTAACTAAGTATTCTTTGCGAAATATCGCGAGTTCAGTTGAAGAAATATGACGAAGGAAAGATCCTGTAATATAGCAAGCGAGATTATCTAATTAAAATGATCTATCGTAAGTCTCTATCCTGCTCCATTTTCAAACAGGAATTTTTGAATCCGCGGTTCACGGATTCTATGCCATTTGATCGTGTGCGAGCCCCATCTCTTATTCTAGCTAATTCAGGCCATAAATGTTTCTATTATAAAAAGCACGCAAATTGTTAAATTCCATTCTTTTACAATCGTTTATTAAAATCAACATTACCTTTATATATTCAAAGAAATTAAACATTTACTCGCTTTTAATTGTAACAATTTAAGCAAGGTTGACATTGAACTGTACAAATCCTCTCATTTAAATCTTAGACGTACATTTTTCGACCAACTTTAACCTTTTCATTTTAACTGATGTTCTGCACAAAAAATCGAAACTCAGTATTTAGTACCTAAGCCTGTAGTGTTGTAGCTCTGTACATAGCCTCACCTTACCCTACATATTGTGCCATCGCATCCTGTACAGTAATATTACACGAACTTTATTACATACTTAAAAGTTTTGATTTTTATACTGCAAAAAATTCTACAACGAATTCGCAGCGTTTTGGCCATAAATCGAAAATAATTTCTATATAACCTCACCTTCTTCCCTGCACTGAGCGCGCTACATGAGCCCCCCAGGACAGGCAATTAACCGCCGCTCGTATTGCCAGTCTGGCTTGTATATGACGAAGCACCGACTGAATTTTCTAACAATATCGGTAATGGTATTTGCATTTGTTAATATTAATAAGTGATCATCTTTTAAGGAGATAGTAAAATCAGCAATGTTGTGATGCGATGAAAAATTAAGCTTAAATACATTGAGTTAAATTGAAGCCGCAAATGTATCGCCAATCAGTCAAGCGAGATAATTATATTAGTCAATATTTTGATACTATATTGTGCTGAACGCTACATAATTGTCATCAATTAAATTTTTTAGAAGTTTATAAGAGCCGTGTTCGTGCTACCTTTGCCATCAAGTACTTTTAAAATGCACGAAAACTTAGGTATAGCTTTCCTTCTTCAAAGTAACGGCAACAATAAATCGGTATGTTTTAAACCCCATTGTTATATTTCATGATTAAATGAATGTAAAGATGTCGTTTGTGTTGTGATCATTTGCTAGGTGCCAACACCATGACCTCGAATCAAAATGTACGCGACGTAATGATACTTGATTGATTTAAGTTTAAATATCATAAAATTTATTATGCTTGCTTTACAACGATATTGCACATACATAAACGCCTTCAGTTAATTCCTACGTTATAATTCCTTTGAGGCGCAAACAGCGTTTAATTAAAGATGCTTCATCTAATATTTTAAATATAATTTTCTATAAGTGGAGAATCAGAATTGAGAAAACTTTTGGAAATAGAAAATTTCTAATCAGAATGAATGATTTAAATCTTAAAATTTGATTGTTAATATTGCCTTGTAACTATAAGAAACCAGCAACTTTGACATCAATCAGGAGTTAAAAACTATTATGTATCCTGTTATGCAGTAAATTTTAAGATTATTTTCTCGTTTCTCGGAAGTTAAATTATTGTCCTGTTATTCTAAAGCTTTAAACTATTTTCCTATTGCTCAGAAACTTACAAATCCCATTTCTCAAGATTCAAAAACTCTTTTTCTGTTACTAAAAATGGGGATTAGTAAAAACCTGCAAGATTAAAGATGTTAACATGAAAATACTATAACTGAACTTACCCCAGACCTGAACCTGGGAGAGGAAATGATGAAAAAAATCACAGAATGTTCACACTTCCATGCAAAATAATAACTATTGTCTCCAAATAAAAGTTATTACTCATTCGTGTTATTTTATTCACTGACGATGAAATTTGAATTTCGAAATGCCTCTATGGATTTTCGTGAGACGTTCAACAGTAAATTTTTTTTCATTGCAAACAAGATACTTTTTTCACAGAATAAAAAGAAAAGAAAAAATATAACTCAGTATATACTCACTGCAGTCAGTGACAGAGAGCGCATTTTCTCGTCGACGAAAACGTGAAGTCACGGACAGACGGACAGACGAACAGACGGACATGACGAGCACAATAGCGCATTTTTTCCATCAATGATAAAATGCGCTAAAAAGAGAAAAATCATCAGAAATTCAATACCAACATCCAATACGTATTTATAGATGTAACAAATACCTAGAAATCGGATGGTTCAATAATCAATTGAATTTTAATTGAAAATAATCTCATTTGATAGAATATTCGTACGTTGTCTGCAATGTAACACGTAACTGAAATTTAAGTTACACATGCAATGTGAAGTGGCGTCGTTTGCGTATCAGGGCGTATTATCGTATTATAACGTACCTAATACGTTTGCGTACTAGGTTATCATGTCGCAATCATTGATTGCCATTACTACAACAATCGTGAAGAAGAGTTACGACCGAGTGATCGTATCGCTATCGTTAATGGATATCAATACGACTCGGTTGAAATAGCAGGAAGAAATCATATTTCCAAAATCAGAACATAGATTTAATTAAGATGATTGATGAAACCGCTCTCAAGTTATTATAATAATATTAAGTTCAGTTAAACCTGAGAGATTCAAAACTTCACAAAAATCAATGAAGCAGAATAAATTTTCATCTCTAATACAAAATTGGCGTGCAGACGTTTGAATTCAGAAAGATCAATTTTAAAGTTAGTAAAACATTTATTTATCGCTCGTTGCAGATATCCGTTCAATAACAAAATAACGTCAAGACCACAAACTGGGTTCGAACACCATAATTATATGGTGTATATTTACACCATATAATTAACATAACATAATTGTTATGTTAATACATAATTATTATAATAAACATATTATAATAAACGACATAAATTATTGTATACTTTTATTATTATTATTGTTGTATTGTAATATTATTTCCTTTTAAATTTTTTTCCATCAGTCTGGAGCTGAACAGATCGAAGTTGCAGTGGACAAGAAGGCAGCTCAAGAATGAATCTTCGGAGAACCCGGAATCAATTTGTTCCAGACCTTTCAGTCTGGAGCTGAACAGATCGAAGTTGCAGTGGACAAGAAGGCAGCTCAAGAATGAATCTTCGGAGAACCCGGAATCCATTTGTTCCAGACCTTGCCCTCTAGGATTCATCAGGAATTTCCAGGTATTCATTTAATTTCATTACCATTTTGATTAGAATTACCTCAATCGATATATTTTTGCTGCAAATGCTTTTAACATGCAAATTAAATTTCATCACAGTCCCTGGTTTTCAATGGCGTCGGCTATTTCTTAGATTAATTCAGTACAGTAATTTCTGTGTTCCACGTTCAGACTAAAATTACGTGCCAGAAGATATTTTATGATGCGTGAATTCCCTTAGATTTGGTGAATAGAAATCTCATGAGACAAATACGTACATCCAGAGAGTATATTTCCAGCTGGAGGCCGCGTGTCTCTAGCTGTATAAATGTTTCATATAATAAAATAAATACTTCAAAAAATCTGTAATTTAAATTATCGATATTAGACTGCGAGTCGGTGACGTTTTAATCGATTAATCTTCGTTCCATTCAATCTGGTTTCCTTTCCAACAACAATTTTTACACGATTTCAAGAACCCAATACCTCTGTTACATAGCGATATCACTGATGGCAGGCCAAGTATTGCTGGAGATTCGAATAAATTTAGTTTAAAGTGACCCCGGTTACTGTCCGGTGTCCGGCAATAATGTAAACAAGACTTTATTCACCAAATATGGCAGCTACTGAGCGATATTATTGACGGTAGACTGCGTGTGGCTGGAGCTTTTAAGAATTGGGTGTAATATAATTATAAATGAACAAGGCGACACCAAGGGCTTATGGGTAGAATATAAGTGAGCAATGTTGCACTAAAGGCTTAGAGTTTGTGGGTGTAATATAATTATAAATGAACAAGGCGACACCAAGGGCTTATGGGTAGAATATAAGTGAACAATGTTGCACTAAGGGCTTAGAGTTTATTGGTGGAATATAAGTGAACAATGCTGCACTGAGGGCTTATGGGTGGAATATAAGGGAACAATGCTGCACTGAGGGCTTTGAGTTTATGGGTGGAATATAAGGGAACAAAGTTGGACTAAGGGCTTTGCGTTTATGGATGGAATATAAGTGAACAAGGCTGCACTAAAGGCTTAGAGTTTATGGGTGGAATATAAGTGAACAAAGTCGGACTAAGGGCGTTGCGTTTATGGATGGAATATAAGTGAACAAGGCGGCACTGAAGGCTTAGAGTTTATGGGTGGAATATAAGTGAACAAGGCGGCACTAAAGGCTTAGAGTTAATTGGTAATTTTTTATTTTAAATTCCACGATGACCTTGAGTGACGAGAAAAACCGGTTAGAATGCTCTTTTTTTTTTAGCTATGTGACCAACCTGCGAGATAGAAAATAATTGTTTATATAATAACGACATTGTCATATAGTGATATTTTACTGATAAAAGGCCTCATGTGTCGCATTGAAAATTAGACGTATTTAACTCGTATCCAATAAAGTTCAGAACAAAAAAGGATCCATAACGCTTCAATTCTTTCTCATATTCGTCAATCTTACGTGAGCTTTCACAAAAAAATAAATTCACATTTTAATTACAGCTATTCACTTTTTCCACGAGTTTAATTAGCATAAAGTGCTTCTTATAAAAGTAAAAAAAATATTTGATAACATGAATCATGAATTAAATCGATCATTTCTATGGCAGCAACATTGCAGAAAAAATATAACTCAGTACTCACTGCAGTGAGTGACAGAGAGCGCATTTTCTCGTCGACGAAAACTTGAGGTCACGGACAGACGGACAGACAGACGGACATGGCGAGCACAATAGTGCATTTTTTCCATAAATGAGAAAATGCGCTAAAAACGCCAAAGAAAGCATTTCCATCATTTAAATTTATTCGCGCAGCTCGATCGGTCTAATGTGCACCCTAATGACGGCCATCATCTTCATGCGCTACAACACCACCCCCATCATCATGGCGTCGGGCAGGGAATTGTGCTACGTACTTCTTTTCGGCATAGCACTTTGCTATGTCATGACCTTCGTCATCCTCGCCCCTCCCTCCACCCCAATCTGCGGGGTACTCAGAGTAGGCTTAGGCTTAGGCCTATGCATTTGTTACTCGGCCATCTTCACCAAGACCAATAGGATCTCGCGCATCTTCAACAGGGGAGTCAAGTCTATCAAGCGTCCGTCCTACACCTCGCCCAGGTCTCAAATACTCATATGCTTTGGTGAGTCGACAAAATATTTGCTATTACCAAAATTGCAGAAAAAACTTGTTTTACCGCATCTTCAGAAGTTGATGTGCGAAATCGTTTGGTTGACTATAACGAACAATTTTTGTAGGGCCTTTATAGCTATTACCGAAAGACAGAATAGACTCTTTTTGCCGCATCTTCAGAAGTTGAGGTGCGAAATCGTTTGGTTGACTATAACGAAATATTTTGCAGGGCCTTTATGAATTGGAGATAACAGTAAATAAATGATCAAAAAAGGCAAGTAGAATTTACGTTTGTTTGTTCAGTTCTTCAAACTAACGGCTATTAGCATAAGCCACTTGAATAATTCAAGAAGAAACTTATTTATGTCCAGTCTGATCTGTGATTTATTTAGATCGGCAAATAGTTCAGTACATGGTGCGACATTGTATATAAATCTATCTTGTACAACAGTGCGGGTTCAGCGAACATAAAATGTCTTTATGCTTACTTCTTATATATGATTCGGAATATACTTCGAATATACTGCCAAGAATGGTGAGATGCTTGATGCAAAAAAATGTATTTTTCGTCTGAAATGCATTAATCTTTAATAAGCCCTATTAGCGATGTGTCAGTATGATTAAGATGCTGAATATGAAAAATGAACATTTTTTATCACTATTTATTCTATCAATTCATCCCCGTGTGTTTGTCTCCCACACCAGGTCTAGTGGGGTGCCAGCTTTTAGGTGTGGTTGCATGGCTGGTGGTTGAACCACCCACCACAAAAGAGCTCTACCCAGACCGCATGATGGCGGTGTTGTCATGTGGTACCTCCAGCATTACCCTCATCCTGAGTCTGGGCTACAACATGATTCTTATCCTGCTCTGCACCATCTATGCCTTCAAGACCAGGAAGATTCCTGAGAACTTCAACGAGGCAAAATATATTGGCTTCACCATGTACAGCACGTGCATCGTGTGGCTGGCATTCGTCCCCATATATTTTAGTACCACTAGAGATTATAAGGCAAGCACTAGTAATTAATTTAATGAAGTGGAACTGAATGACGAATTTATAAATGATAATGTTGTGTATGTAGCACGCAATATAATTACAATTCCAGTGAAAATTTCAAAATAAAGATTTTTCAATTGAAATGTTCCGACATGAGTAACTAGTGTAAATTCCAATTCTTCTAGTGTAATCGGCAAATTTTAGTTCTTCAGCCGCATCTTAACCATCCTATGTGATGGTCTTCACGTTTCCTGCCTATTTAATTCACACAAGGGCAAGGCCAATTAAACTTTGGTAACTGAACAGAGAAAAATGAATTCCAATAAACACAAAGAAGTGTTTGCTAACACAGGCCTCAAGCCACTGTCACAGTCATGGACCCTAAACCAGTCATAAGCCTAATGCAGTGGTTTGAAATTATTTTGCATCTAGGTCTGCAAAGGTTAAATATACCATTACGTATAGTAATAAATCCTATTACCACTTAAATTAGACAAGTTTGCTTAATGAAGTGACAATAAATATGTCCAGCGTCTCTACACCGTATCTTACTAAATAGCGTCGAGATCATAAGTGTCGCGTGGTGATAGCGACACTGAAAACTACTCAGATGAAAAAATGCTGCACGACATGCGTTGGAATTTTGGCTATAACTATAGTATGCATACTCGGACGCTTTTTATTTTACGACGATGAAGACAATATATACATTGATGGTCAAATTATTTTTCAAACCACGATTAACTTGTTCGAATGAGTAAGCAAATTACAAATTCACATTCCACAGTCAATCAGCACAGTCTTAAAAAAAATTCCTTCAATGCCCAGTTAGGCTGAACCATAACATTTACACTGGCTTTGACGCTATTACTACTTGACTATTTTTATAACTACTACGACTGCTACTACTACTCCTGACTATTACTTCTACTTTATTCTCAAAGTGGTTTCTATTTTCTCACGATCATATCCAACTGGTGATGTTATAACTACTACTACTCCTGGCTATTACTTCTCCTTTATTCTCAAAGGGGTTTCTACTTTTCCACCAACAGATCCAACTGCAGGGCGATGTTATAACTACTACTACTCCTGGCTATTATTCTACTTTATTCTCAAAGAAACTTTTTTCTCACGATCAGATCCAACTGGCGAGCATTTGCATGTGCGTGAACATCTCTGCGTCGGTGTCGCTAGGTTGTCTCTTCACACCCAAAGTCTACATCGTCGTCTTCCAGCCGTACAAAAATGTTCGTCAGGGCTCAGGTCAGGGCAAGGTGAGGTGTACGAGGTTGCTTGAGTGACGCATGCTTGCAGTAGAGGTCGCTGTCATATTATTCACCGTCAATACGAAATATTTCAAAAAATATATTACGTTTTGTCAGTCATATTATTCACCAACAATAGGGCATATTTCGAAAAATATATTACGTATTGTCATATTATTCACCATCAATATGATAATATGACATATTTTAAAAAATATATTTCGTTTTGTCATATTATTCACCATCAATAAGACATATTTAAAAAAATATATTAAATTTTGTCATATTATTCACCGTCAATACGACATATTTCAAAAATATATATATTACGCATTGTCATATTATTCACCATCAATATGACAATATGACATATTTCAAAAAAAATATGTTACGTATTGTCACAATATTCACCATCAGTATGACAATATGACACATATTTCAAAAAAATATATTGCGTATTGTCATTTTGAAACTGGTATTTTTGCAGCAAATGCATGAAAAATTAAATAACATGATAATCTCGAAAATGACAGCATGAGTGACTCATGGTACAGCGACCGCGAAATTTTGACGAATTTGATTTTTGCGAGAATTTGCTCAAATTTGTGGATAAATGGGTGATGTGAGGGCTACGTGGTGAATGTCATGATGTGGCTCATGATATTTTATTGTATTTTTTCCGTTAAAATCTTATCTACTTATATGCACATTTGAATATTCATGTATATATTTTGTATATATTAATATAATCATTTTACTTCGATAATTCCGAAAACATTCCTATGTTGGAATATATAAATCTTAGTGATACTGTGAGCATAATGATGAATTAAAAATGTATAATTTAGTTATATGAATCTCGGAGAAAATTTTTCGCTAATTACAAATGAATTCAAAAATATTCATTTTTTTCCCTGTTTGTCCTCGACTATATCGAAGTTATCACTATCACTCAATGTTAGCTTACTTCAATTTTAGCAATAATGAGAAATTTCGAAAGTAAACCGACTTCAAAAAGGAAATTTAGTTAGAATCTGTAATCAGCTCATCTAACATTTCATTCAATGTTTACAGTTTACTGTGATAGTACAGTGTGATGTACTGTGACAGTACATCTAACAGTTTACTATCCCGTAAAATTGGGTAATACCAGCGTTTGCACCAACAAAGTCCTCACACAATCAATGCTCCCAGCAGCACATTATATTATAAAAATATTATTATGTGGCATTAAACAAACATCAAAGAAAATATATCTTAATGGAACAAACGTTCACACCCGCAGGGGTCCAGCACAAACAAAAACTACGCCAGTATGAAATTTCAACCAAAATCGCCGACAGCTCAATCTGTTCTGTCCAGCAACCACTCGAGCAACCCCGCTACAAACGTGCTACTTCCCCTTCCCCCTACCCTCACCCTCACCCTACCCCCTCACCAGCCCCCGCCCACCGTCAGCCGCCAAGTAAGGGTAAGCCTAAATTGTCAATTTATATTTTTTATAGCAATGTAAATGTAACTATTGGTCAAAATGCGTTCACACTCAGGAGGTTTGGAATTGAAAAAAAAATCCTGTGTTTGAAATGAACAAAAATGTTGGCATTTCTTTCACAGATAAACGGGGAATCCCTGACGGCGGCTACAATAACAGTGAAGAGAACAGCAGCTTCATCAGGAGCTATTACATAGGGACGGCGAGAGGTGCTGCTTTAACTTCCACCGCTAATCAAAGTTGTTCTTCTGTAAAAACGCAGCGCACATCACCAATTTCATCCTCAGTCTCAGGTGTAGGGGTAGACGTAGTTAGGTTTTCCTCCAGTAACGACCACTCGGCTAGGTTACCGTCTAAAAAAGACACAGCAGAGTACGCATCATGTGAATCTATAGTCTCAGGCAAAGGACGAGTGTCAGTCTTGAAGAAGTCGTCGCAGAGTTCTTTAAACTCAATCCTGTCATCGAATTCTTGCCTCAAGAATTCTGCTATTGCTGAACCGCGATCTTCCATGTCCAGGAAAGAAAGACATGGCGTTTCGTTTGCTGTTCCCTATCGGGATGTTGAGATTCAGGCGTGGGAACCTAGTGGATCTGTTCAAAGTCAGCAAGATTCTCAACCGTGTCTTGAAGATCAACCAGTTGAAAGTGAATCAATTCCCAAAACATGTACAATTGGGACCTCTACCTATCTAGAGGATACCTCTTGTGACCATTTCAGTAACATGGACGAGTTTGGCATCATCGTAGGAGCTAGTAGTCATAGTAGCCTACTTAGTGGCACCTACAGTTATGACCCAGTCTTCAGCACTGACGATGATGCGAGTACTACCAAGAAAAGCAGTCCAATGCAACTACCAAAAAATCTCGAAGTAGACCCATGGAGAGTTGATAACTTGGGTTCCTTTCCGCTGGAACAGTCATCATCAAACATTTTGGTTCGGAAGGATACGCCTCCACCTAAGCCCGTTATTCCTCGCAATAACGAGAAAGATTTAAGAGAGTTCATCAGGAGACGTCATACTAGCAACCTGTCTATGTCTACACAAACTTTGAGAAAGTCAGGAGGAATCTCGAGCGAGAACCTTGTGTCCAAGTGGGACTCGAACGAAGCCAATCTAAGTTCCTTTGATCAAAATGTTCCTCTTTTGTACAACGATGACAAGGAGGTGAGATACGAGAACATTGCAACGATTTCAGCCTCGATTAGAGACAAAAGTAAAACCACTGACGATATGGTACTGAACCTCATCAAGAAGATCAAATCTCCTGATGAGTCGACGTACCTATAGTATAACACTTTTTCAAACTGTACAATCAGCCATTCACTTCCTGAATAAAGTACTGGTACTATACTATTGAACAATCAAACCGTAGTTAAAAGCTATTTTCATATCCCTAAGTTCTGGAGAGAAATATTGTAGTCTAGAATAGATAAGGGACTGAGGATGAATTGTGTAAGCCGCGTCTTACAGAAAGATATCGACTTGATTTTTGGTGGTAGTTAAGCTGCACCTCGTAACCCGAGTCCAAGCTTAAAAGTTGTTATCAACTCTGAACTCATAAAGTAGAATAGAAATAGTTAAGACAGGTTGTTACGGTCGACAGCTGGTCAACGACAAAACTTATCCTATCGCTGCTTACATTTTCGTCCCAAAGTTTAGAATTTCTTATTATTGACCCGGTTTAACTGTTTTTTCGTAAGTGCCGTGATTGTGAGTAGTTGCTTAACACATAAATTCCTGATAACTGTCCCTTTATTTCACAATCTCACAATTATTAATATTGAGCTTAATGATATTCCTCGAAATTTGCTCGTCCAAAAATCAATACTTACAGGAAATAAACAGTGCACGGATACTATCACTCAAAGTAATGCGCTGGTATTTACTTTTCTCAATTTAATTTAGTAGGAAAATTGAACACATGACAAGTTTTAATTTGCTTACTTTATACGTAGTATATATACTTCTGAGATTTTCCGCGAAATGGTGAATGGAAATTCACAGTCTTATCATTTTTTATACCTTTAGTAACCAAAAACGAGACGGCGATTACGGATATCAACTAGAATATTGGACATAATAGTTAGCATTGTACATTTATGAATTAAAAAATATATTAATGACTACTAAAGAATAAGGCGAGGCACGATATCAAAAAATTGAACCGTAAATCACAAGGAGAAAAAAATTATGGTTGATATGGCCATACATACATTTATACTATTTTTTATGATTTTATTATATTTATAGTTTCAGATTCGCTTTATTACTCAATTTAATCTCTTTTTTCCTCATTCGAATGGTAGTATTGTAAGAGGTAGAGCTTCCTGTCTACTTGAAAATATTTTTTTAGTCTGATAGTGTTGTTAACAACAACAACAAGTTCTACTTATATTTAGGATCATGAGGGACTAGCAAAAAATCCGTTTTTTTCATTAATATTCCAATTCTATTTCAAATATTACTATCACCAAGTAGTAGTAATTAACGCAGAGATATGTGAATTAGTCTATTGATTGGTTGTTGTGGAAGCCGGCCGAACCATTTATCCAATGCTCAACGCCATTATAATATCAATGTTACTTTTAAGCATGTCAAAGTGTGACAGTTTACAGTGTGTTCAAGTGTAGGTTAGAACTCAGTGTTAAATCTCAGCTTTTATCACTGGAATGTCGTTGGTTCCTGGCCACCGAAAACAGGCACAATACAAAAGTTCTCCACACTGTCATCCAGTGAGAATTAAATGAAAATCTATTTCCTATAACAACCCATCCAAAAATAAAACTAAGATGGTTATTCTGATAATAGCCAGCTAAAGACGCTACACGTTTCGAACTTGCCTTCTGTAAATGCTCCGATGTGTTTGAAAATGTTTTGCCTGTAACATTGCGGCTGAGAACTGCACTTACCTAACTGAATCAAATGAAGACCGAGGTTCAAAATTAGTATTTAGTAATTCACCCCGAGACTAGTGTGGCAAGTACCTCGTGCTTCACTAATTGCATCTCATGCTAAGTAGTTGAGTTCATAACCTTAGAGGGCTGGCTAGCCTGTCTTCGCGTGTAAATGGAAAATGGATTGTGCCTAATACACCGCGTGGCCCAAACCCAATAACTTGTTTGGCTTCGATTTATCATTAATAAATCAACTTTAAGATCTTCCAGTTATGCGTTTCATGTAAACTCGTCGCACTAATTGCTCGCTGGAATTTTCGCAATTAACGACTTTTTCAAGCTTCATTAGTTGAAAAATTAAAACAGTTAATTTATTATTATAATTATCATATAGCCCAGATTGAAGGTGCAAATCCCTCGTCGTATCTTTAAATAATTTAACTGTTTCGATCACACCTCACAAATCCGACTGTGTGTTCAAGGCCAGAGATTAAGGTTGGGCAATGTATAATCGTTTAAAATGCATATTTCTTGACAAACTTTTAAAAAAGAGGACGAAATCAATCATTCGTTTAATGAATGATAATAAATTATTTATTATTGATAACACTTCCCATGGAAAAAAATATATTATTCGAAATAAAGGGCAGATTTTCTATACATAAATAAAGTATCACTGGTGTTATTTTTCATAATTAACAGGCATTAACATCTTAAAATTATGTGGTCCACTGCCAGTTAAATTTGTATGTTACACCTAAAACATTCGCAATCAAAAAGAGTGATATAAGTTTTCTTTAAATAGCATTAAAATCATGTGATAATTGGTAAATAAAGTAAAATATTTACTTACATCTATGAATGCGCAAGAAAAGTTCAATTTATTCTCCAGATTCAGTGAAATTGATTTACCAGTAGTAAGTTTTCGCAATCGGTAAATTCATGCATGTCTGTATTCGAATCAAATAAGTAGTAAATTAGTAATTATATGTTCATTACAACAATGATCATCAAATGCTTTATTCGTCAATAATTCTAAAGTATAGTCAGTGTGCATCGTGATGCTGATAGTTATCGTTAGTTACATTAACTATGTGTAGGTGTAAATTTTCTCTGTATTTTATGACGATGCTAATAATGACACGTGTTCCTCGATAATTATGTTGATGTATTATCTGTGTATTTAAATACGATGGAAAGTAAGAAATGTTCTATAAAATAATTATGTTGATGTATTACGTGTGTATTTAAATACGATAGAGAGCAAAAAATGTTTTCTCACATAATTATGTTGATGTATTTTTATGCCAGATTATTCCACAATCAATGTTTAGGAAGGTTGCTATGGGAGAAAACTAGAACGACATACTGATTGTTTTCATGTAGCAAAACGAATGTTAATTTCCGCAATCGTTTCTTGAACTCTGAATGTATTATATAAACTTTATTTTATATTTCTTTACAGCTTAGCTGAATTTCATTCACATAACTCCCCTCCTTCCCCTTAAAATAATCCCATGAGCGAATAATTGATTCTTAATCAACATCTGAGTGCTGTGTGGAGAGGGCACCTGGCATACCCATGGTGGCAGGGGGGATCCGATTTAATTTTCTAATTACTTATGAATTTTATACCGTATTATGAGCTTCAACGTAATTGGCGGCATTCACTTTATTTCTACAAATATTAATTTATTAATATGCAAGGGTATTAACTATTGGTATTAATTTATTAATATTGGTATTAAATATTGGTATTAATTTATTAATATTGGTATTAATTATTATCAATATATATATTAATTAATTAGAATTCTATTACAGAGTTTCTGCGTTCAGAAAAATAAATGGGTAACATTGTCCATATTGTGACACACAGTCCGCATTTGGCCGCTGATACGCCTTTTTACCGGGTCAAATTTGGTTAGGAATGATTGGGCAGAACACATACTGTACAAGGGCTGAAAGTTAATCGCTAACTGAAAAAGCATAAATTTCGCAAGTGTGGTGCTCTAAGACCAATCTTTCTCCTTCTGCACTACCCTGCACCTAAGATATTCTTCAATGATTGGCTGATGAACTTACGATCGCTTAAATTTTCTTGAAAGTATGGGCCCTGGTAACTAAAGTTCTCGTGAGTAGACCAAAGGTTAATCGCTTGTCTACCCATACATTAACCGTCGTCAATACTATCAGTTCCTAAATGCCTAGTAACGGGAGCTACCTTTATTGGACAAAATATTAAGTAGACGTTTCTCTGAGATCTGAAGCTCTCACTTGAACGATTTAAAGTATGTTTAATCCTTCTTAAACAACGCCGAGACATTTAATTTTAATTTAGTAAAATTATTCATGGTGCGTACGCTGTACTTCACAAATTCAGGCGCGGGCTTTACTTTAAATATTTTAATACGTTCATGTTTGTGCATTCTTGTACAGTATACATTGCACATCATGTCTTCATGGTGGACCATCATAATTCAGTGTAATCAAGTGTAATCAATCTCCTCATGAGTGTCTATTGTATATGGTGAATTGTTATGTTGACCGGAAGGCGCTATATTCTTAAGAAAGTGTTCATATAGTGAAAAACTCAGGTGTAAGAATCGTTCTCGGTCTGAATAAATAAGTAAATAAATCCTAAGCTAAAGCTTTGTACAGAACTCAATGCAATATTATTGACAGTTCTGTTTCATGTACTACTAGATTTATCAGTACATTTAGGTAAAGATAACAATAATAATTTTACAGAGACAATACAAATAATAGAATAGTACAATAACTACGGCATACATGCAGTTTCATCGGTCCGCTGCGACCAGTTAGCACAAGAGGCAGATGGTGAGTAAACTAAAAATTAAATATTCTTAATAAGGTTCTTGATTATGAATAAATTGAATTGCTCAGAGAATAAAACAATTGGCAAGTAATGATCTTAAAATCAATCGCGTTCGTGATGCGGGCTGATCAAGCCGAGATGGTTTTAACCGGAAATTTCAACCAGCGACGAGTTCTCTTATCCCGACGCTAACATTTGGTAAAACATTCAGCAGATATGCTATCATAATCATAATATAATTGCTTGGAAATAATAGAGAAATCTATGACCAAAGTAGAAATAAAGTAAATTGCTGTGTTAAGCTGAAATATGATTCGTTAGTCTATTTAATGAGCTTCCCAACTAAAAATTTTTGTGCAAAAAGTTCCAATTATGAATCTAGAAATGCCCGGAAAAAGTTTCTCTGACAAGTCTCATGACATCCAATTTACTTGCCACACTTTCATGGCTACAGTGAATTGCTTTTCCTAATTATAAAGTCGATTTTAAGAATAATTAGGGAGAAAAGTATATTGATTGAAGAAACTAAATAAAGTCGCTGATTGAATTTGTCTGAGAACATTTCCTGAGCCCATCCATCTCGACTTGACACCGTCGGAACGTGACGTCTAGTTCATATTAAACATTAATTATTACTGTATATGGAATCCAATACATATATTCTAATCAAATAAACCATCGAAGAATTCATTTGTAATCTTATTTCAATTTCAGTGAGATGTGGTACATTGATACTGAAAGCTGCAACTCTATACATTGATTTGTGTCTATGAATGTTCTCAATGGCACGTTATTTTTGATGACTGTTTAACTTTTTCAAACTGACGATGTATATTGTTGCCCCTGCATAAAGTATTCTCACAATTATAAGCAGATAAAAAGCCAACCAGCCGCTCATTGGAGCAAAAATTAAGTC